CTTCTACCCAAAAAATAGTGACACAAATATTCCGAAAACTATAGACCAATTACATGTCTTCCAACAACATACAAACTATAACATCTATTTTAACAAAACAGACATATTTCTTCTTGGAAAGAAATGACATACTACCACTTGAACAAAAAGGTGCAAACGAGGCTGCTACGGATGTAAAGACCAATTACTTATTAATAGGATGATCCTAGAAAACTGCTTCCGTGGAAAAAAAATCTTAGTATTGCCTGGATAGATTATCGTAAAGCATTCGATAGTGTACCACATTCCTGGATCTTAAAGTTTTTAAGTATGTACAAGGTATCACCCGTTATCATCAATTTTTTCAAACAATGTATGTCGATATGGAAAAAATTGTTTCTACTTTACCTCAATCATAAAAAATGGAACCTATAAGTCTGGCGAAATAAACATCAATAGAGGAATATTTCAAGGTGACTCTTTGTCTCCTTTATTATTTTGCATATCACTTATAGCATTAACCAGCCAACTTAACAAGACAGAATGCGGTTACAAAAATAGCTCAAAAAGAAAATAAACCATCTATTTTACATGGATGACTTAAAATTGTATGCTAGGAATGACAATGAGCTGAAGGTCTTCTGCAAACTGTAAAATGCTTCAGTGAAGACATTGGAATGAAATTCAATTTGGATAAATGTGCTAAAGCTACAGTTTTACGAGGATCATTATGACAACAAACTTCCTCTATTAGTTTAGACCCTGCTGTAAATAATAAAAGATTTAGAACAAGGAGAAGCTTATAAGTACCTAGGTGTAAATGAGAGTGAAGGAATTCACCATAAGAAAATGAAAGAAATAGTGCGTAAAGAGTACTATAGAAGGGTACGACTGGTATTAAAAACTGAATTGAATTCTCAGAACAGAATTATGGCCATTAATAACCTAGCCATCCCAGTGGTCCAATATAGTTTCAACATCTTGAACTGGACTCTAAATGACATCAGACAAATGGATTCTAAAACAAGAAAGCTTCTTTCTAAGTATAAGATGCATCATCCAAAGGCTGATGTAGACCGTCTATACATACCCCGTAAAGAAGGTGGAAGAGGTCTTATTTCAGCTAGAATTGTCATACAAGACAACAACTATTGGCTTACTAACTTACATGAAAACAACAAATGACTGGATGATAAAATTAGTGAAACAACATGAAAACAGAAAGAAAAAAATATTCAATAATAAAAGAAGGCAGTAAATACAAACAACATTTACATTTAGTAGATTCTGTAGTAAATCAAAACAGAAGCCAAGAACCAACTATTGCAGCAAAAGATATGAAAAAGAAAGAACAAGGATAAAGCCCTTGAACAGATGAAACAACGCTGGCAAGACAAACCTCTGCATGGCCAATATCCAGAACGAATATATCAGACATTTTTAACTTCAAATAAACCCAATGTTGATAAAGTTAATACTCATCGATGGTTACGAGCATCTGGATTAAAAGTCTGAAACTGAAGGCTTTATTCTTGCAGCGCAAGACCAGAGTCTTTTCACTAGGAATTTTCAGGCAAATATCATACATAATAATGTGGATCCAAAATGCAGGTTCTGTGACAAATACCAAGAAACAATAGACCATCTAATCTCAGGATGTTCTATACTATGGCCCAAATGAATATAAAAATCGTCAACCATAGAGTGGGGACAATCGCTAGTACACTGGACAATGTGTTCAAACACTTTGGAAAATGTGTAAGCAAACACTGAGTATGAACATCAAATCCAGTAGCGCCGGTTACAGAAATAGAAGATGTCACCATTCTATGGGATTATACCATCCACACACAGACAGAAAAATTGAAGCAAATAGGCCGGACATTATTGTCAAAACCAGAAAGAAAAAATTTGCCTTTTAATTGATATGGCTTGTCCAGCGGATTGTAACATAACAACCAAGGAATTTGAAAAACTATCAAAATACAAAGACCTGGAAATTGAAATAGAAAAAATGTGGAAATTGAAAACAAGAATAATACCAGTGGTAATAGGTGCACTTGGAATTATAAAAATGGAACAAAACAACACATTGAAAAAATCCTTCCAAAACCCCAGCTTAAGAGACATACAGAAAATTGTCTTATTAAAAAATACAGCACACACAAACTAAGATGAGAACTTTGTCTATGTAACGCTAGCAACTTCATCGGAGATAAAAAAAAAAAAAAAAAAAAAAAAATTAACATGTAATGTGGCCATAACAACACACCACGACCTGCCTTAAAAGTCTTTCCGCAGACTTGGTAGGTAGTGTGTCCATAGCAGAAATCGAATGATGATGATAATAATAATAATAATAATAATAATGTTTGATCCCAGTTGAATTTTGACCTTTATACTTCGAATTCTCCGACTGTCGACATTAAGTGTCTTCCTAATGGGCACAGTCGACAGTAGATTTTTCGCGGTCTTTATTTTCATTATCAATTATAAATCTTCTTTTCTGTTAGAGAACAAAAACGAATTAAATGTTATTAGCATCTTTATGTCAATGGGGGACATTTCATTGCATGGAATTATCATAATTCAAGGTCCTGGACTAAATATGATTAAAAACATAGCGACACAACATAAATCTGAGGTGTAGATAAA